TCGCTCATGCATGATGAATCTTTAAAGCACTTATTTACTCCATCAGATGTACAGAAAATAATCCAACAATGCCTTCAAAACCATCAAGTCGTTTAGGATTGCAGAAAATATCTTTTACTTTAGTTTTTTCAGCTCTTTTTTGTTACATTAATTACATATATACCGCGGGGGGTACGCGCATCACACATAGATTAGGGGCGCTATCTCCGTTTCCCCGCCCGTGTTTTATAGCGCCCTGCTTTATTTTATCTTTTCATATTATATTTATATTGAATTTTGTAAGTTTTAAAGTTATTAAAAAGTGCCAAACGGAAATCTAGAGGCAATCTAGCCACCAAAAGAATAGATCACCAAGAGTGCAACCGGATGTGGTAATTGCCCCTGAAAAAACCTGGTCACACTGATTTCGGGCTATTTGTTGACCGATTGATTGACCGATTGATAGATTTCGGGCTTTGACTAGCCTGCATGGCAGGCGGTGCTTGGGAAATACCGCCTGCCGCAAAACCGGGTGTAAATGAACTACCGCCCCTGAAGCATCAAGGCTGTTTATAGATGTCATTAGGTAAATATTCAAAATTAGCCACTCCCAAGTTGCTACCAAGACTCAACATAAAATATTAAATTTTGGCCTTGACTATCGTCACCGCCCGACTGAATTTTAAAATCCTCGTGAAAATGTTTTATATTTCATTATACAATATAAATGTACCGCCCGACAAAATAATTCAAGACAGTTAATTTTTTTATATTTTATACAGGGTTTTTAGTGCCAATTTAAACTTCCAATTTCAAACAAACAGAATTTTGAATGAAATTTCATTGTATTTTAAAGAAACTCAGTCATTCTGTCATTGTTCGTGGAGATACGAACTATTGATATATAAATTATATAAATATAAAATATAAAAAATAATTCTCTCACTTTCTTCGACATTTCAAAGTGTAGACTGTGTCTAGTGATGAGAATTAAGGAATTTATTTTATGTGCAGCCCTCAATATAAACCAAGCCGCCCATTTAGCTGCCTTAAAATGGTGGTTTAATAAGCTCAAAATACAAGGCATGCAAGTCTATACTATAGATTCATCATCATGCAGTCAACAACCAAACTGAAAGTTTTGAATGTTATAGAACGATAGTTTTTATTTGTTTACAACTACACATATTCAACAGGTATATAAGATATACTGCATCAACCGGCACATACCCCTAGTTTATACTTTGGAGGTTCGTATATCTATCAAGTATCTTTGGGGTCAGAACATGATAGGCCTATATGAAAATCCCACCATTCGATTCAGTGAAGAAATATCTCCTAATTTCTATCGATAGTTTTAGTAAAATGTCAACATTATTGCGATTTATGGCCTTTGAAAGTCAAGCGAGATCGTATATTATCAAATTAATATACGCATGTATTTGTCTGAAAGAAAATATTTGACTAGCCCATACCTTTTGCTGATCATAACTTCGGCCCCTTCGGACGTATCTTCTTTGTTAAATATTCTTGTTCGAATCGCTATCAAAAACACTATTCAGAGTGTTATTTTTCAGCTTGTATCTTTAAATTTGCTTCTTTTATTATATTCCATTTCTGCATGGTCTGACTTGTGATTGTGAACTAATCTCAAAACGCAGAGTTTCAAAACGTCAAAACATTTGGTTAATGATTAACATTTAACCGAATTTAGCCGTTGATTGACAACTACATAAAAATACTAACCAATCCGTTTTTTCCGTTCACCAGCGGACGGGTAATTCAAAAACCGCTAGTTTTGCGGCAGACGGTATTTCCTTTGCCTCCTAATTTCCGCTGCCTGTAGAAATACCGCCTGCCACGCAGGCTAGGCTTTGACCGCCACGAGGTTGTGACCGCTTGACGGAAAGCAGACTGTAGAGATGCCTGTGTGGACTGTATACAGATATAATTTTTCATGGTGAGTAAACTAATAAATGTTCTTTGATCAGACCAAATTGTGGAAGAGAAATATATTTGGTGTTTGCAATATAATTGTGGAATCAGAATGTTTGGACGAGCCTAAGGCTGCGTTTACACTATGACATTTGCATGATTTGCATTCGGAGTGCAAAATATAGTGTTATCGCTAGTGTTAAATATAGTGAATCGCTACGGCAAACCACTCCGTTATAGTGTAAACACAAAACTAAGAAAAGTGGTAAATTTTTAGCGAAATTAATTTGTATTCAAAGTGGCAAATGTAGTGCTCCGCAGTTAGTACATTCTGGCTCAAACTCGCTCATATTTCAGCAATTGATTTTTGGCCAAAATGGGCGAGCTTGAGCCAGATCGAATGTTTAGATTCTTAATAGTTGTTTAGATTCTAAATAGTCACCAAGCATTTTACAAAAATATTGTGTGTAACATAGTTTAATGAGCGTTGGAATATAATGCTGAGGTCATCAACAATATTTTTCAACACTCGGCAATGCGCCAATCAATTTATACTGTTAACACCTTTAAGCTCATGTGATTGCTCATTTTTGGATGGTGAGATGCTTATATTACAACAGCATTGAGTGTGAGGCAGTGGCGTGCTGGTGGGGAGGGGCCGGGGGGCCATGGCCCCCCCCCCCTAGGGAAGATTTTTTAGGGGCCGCCAAAGCATAAATGGGGCACCGAAATTGTGCAAAATCACCAAAAGCACACACAAAGCATGATAAAAGCGCTAGTCCGAATTGGAATTTTGTCAGATCCGAACAGCCAATGAGAGAAAGAGGTTGAATAATGAGATTGTCTGATACATTGTCGTTGTTTATACTTTACTGCCATTTGCAAGCCACCACATATTTCAAAGTATAAGTACTTAAGAAAAACTTTCAAAATGTCATTTTCCACCTATCTAGGCACACCAAATTTCAAAAATTTTTGCCAACCATGGTGGTGCCTTGTCGGCATACAAATTGCAAGGGGGGGAAAGGGGGCGCCAAACTCCCAGCTGGCCTCCCCTGGTGAATGCGGGCCAGCACGCCACTGGTGTCAGGGCTCTCTCTATAATTAGAATGAGATGAAGGCATTCATCATTCGACTTTTAGCTAATAACTTTTTCAGAGGGGGGAACTTAAAATTTAGTGCTAAGGTAAGGGGGGAACCAAAAATCTAAGTTCGGCTTAATGGGTGAAGTCTGGGGGAAAAATATGAAAATTTGCAAAAATCACCCATGCCCCCCTCCCATGAAAATCAATGGTCCCTAGGTTGCAGTTTGATATCAGACACATTAGACATGTTTGCATGGAAAACATATGTATGATTATAAAACATTTCATTCAAAATGAGAGCAGCTAAAAATAATATCAAATACTGCACAAATGCAATACCAATGGAATTGCCATTCAAAGCGTTTTTCAGTCTTCACATTTCACATTTTTAAATGCACTTTTCGTAGTTTGTCTTTTGCGTTTGGTGTCTATTAAAATTTAATACTTGCAGGAAAGTGAATAAAAAACTTCTCATTACTCAGTCCATGACATTGTCAAATGGCCCACGTCTTGTGGCTTGTTATCAAATGCCCCACCCCAGTGATAGGAAAACAGCCCTTAAAACTCCTGAAATTTCAGGTCAGCAAGAAATTGCCGACCTAAAAATGCTAATTCTCAATCTAGATCGGCAAAAATGTTTCAAAACAAATAGACAATATCCGCAGGCAAATGAAAATTTAATTTGCTTATACTAGTGACATGTACGCGTATTTTATATAGACAGCAACTAATAAAACGTGAAAATGCATATGTGAAAAGTACGTTCACGGAAAAAATGCCGAGACAAATTCCTGAGTAGATCGGCAAAGATTTGCCGACCTAAATCTACAAATAACGCTTTGCAGGTCGGCATTTAGATCGGCATTGCCGAATGCCGACCTAAGTTTCAAGGGCTGGGAAAAGGTGTCAAACACTCCGGGATATTCCCAGGGGGGATGTTAACAGTATAAATTGATTGGCGCATAACTCAAAGGGAAATAATTGTATCAATTTAAAATTTCTGGTGAACTCTTTTGAGACTTTTGAGACTACTTGTCTGAAAAAAAGACCTCATCAGAAACTTGTATACTTTATATACCCACTAAGAATTTAGTGTTTGCCCTATTCAACATCAAAATAACTTGTTTGAAAATAACTTGTTTGCTTGATGTTTGCAGCACCTAGGATGGAATTAGCTTAATTGCAGTTTTTTATGGGGTGTCCCCCATTAAACCACTAAACAATTAATACCTAAATTATACAGTCAAGATTCCATACATAGTAACAATGTTATACATTTAACCAAATGCCAGTGCTCTCTCTTTGACAAGTAAATTTGTCTGGCCTTTAGACATCTGGAATAAAATAATAAATTAAGGTGCAATGTAACTTAACCCATTGAACACCATTCCCACTGAACACACGTGATCATTCTCTAATTCCTATATACATATCTTATATACTCATTATAATTCAGGAGTATATACTACATTATAATTCATTATAATTCACAGATCCTACACTGTAAACCTTTTCGTTTTTACTAGGGTGAGACTACATATATCTACGACAGGACCCCAATGAAGTTGCAAAAAATCCTGCCAAAAACGTTGTACGCAGCACCATTCAATTTCAATATTGAATTTCAGCCCAATGCTGAGCCAATCACTAAAGGCACACCCTGGGTTTACATGGCTGGAGATAAGAAGTTGTTCATAAAAATGCAGCGTATTTGTCCTATACGTTTTAAGATTAGAGGTCAGTCTTTGAATAAAATTTGCCCTATTAAACTAATCGCTCATGTAAAAAATGTCTGGCATTAGACAGAGTAAAATAGCTGGCGTTTGGGCATATTTAGTAATAAAAAGGAGGGTATAGGGGCGCATTGTTAATTACCTCCACCAGGAGGTTTTGTTTTCATCTGCGTTTGTATATCTGTGTGTGTTTCTCTGTTAGCCGTCAGCACGATAACTTAAAAAATATGAAAGAGGCTCTGAGAAAGCCTTGGAGGTTTCTCAAAAGATGAGGATTCTCGGAAGGGTGCTCCTGGAGGGAAGAAAATTAACTGGCGAGAATGATGCTACTCTTCTGGAGCTGCTAAAACCAGGGTATTTCGACACCCTGGTTAGTAGCTGCAGAAATATTGCGGGGTATGAAGAGAATGATGGCTCAACTGCCAACAAGTCGTATCGAGCTCCAACAACTGCTGTGCACAGTGGATACGAAATAAAAAGGGCAGCAGAGGTCTTGGTGGGCCAAGCAATACGGAAAAAGGACAAAGAATTGCTCGAAGATGTTCAAGCTTTCCTGCAGCTGTACCGAACAACAGAGTGGCACGGCAAGATCACTGCACCTGCCCTCAACAATTTAAAGCTCAAAAGGCTAAACGTGCCTGAGGTCTTGCCTTTGACGAGTGACCTCCTGCTGGTAAGAAAGTACCTGGTGGAAAGACTGTCTACGCTCACCACTGATGTTACAAACGATACAACAAAACAAAATTGGAGGGAACTTGCGGAGGTTTGCCTTACCAGGCTTATCATGTTTAACAAGAGAAGGGGTAAGTATTATAAGGTATTTAACCTTTACTGAACAAGGGTGAGCAGGATATCCAGATTTATTCAAACTACGAACAACGTCTGAAAAATTCTGAATATCAAGTTGCATTATGTGCAATAATTGCTTTATCATTCAATGGCGTTTCTGGATTGAACGGCGAAATAAATGTAACTGTTTTTGTAGAACTGAACTACGTACCTCTATTTGGCAGATCTAAAGTATTATGTTTAGTTGATCACAAAAAAATTGGAGTGCCCAATGGATGCGTGGTTAGGTTTCTACAAAGCAACTATAAACCAGTTAATAAAGATTCGAGTGAAGTCAGTTGAAAAAATAGACTAACCAATTGACCTTTTCTTTTTCATTAGGAGGTGAAGCTGGCAACATGATGCTTGAAACGTTCACGAATCGGCCAAATATCATCCACAATAAGGAGATTTTTCAGTCACTCTCGCCTAGTGAACAACAACTTTGTAAACGGTATGTTTACTCCATATGTTACATTATATGCATGTGAAAGATTATCTTAAACACTTAGTCACTTACAACATCTGACCTGACGGCTGACATCTCTCTCTGATAAAAAGACATAGGGGAAGTGGAACTATTTTGCGTTATATATACGAGTACGTTTTGGTTCACGAAATGCTAAATAGTGCTCAATATCATATAGATAGAGCAAATATAATTTTGATATACCTCAAAAGGTTGCCACTACAGTCTGTTTCATCCGAGAGGAATCTTCAGGTGACTCACCTGAAAACAAAATTTATTAAACTTCAAATAGATATTAGATACATAGTAAATACGTTTCGGGGCACAGCCCCTTCGTCAGAAACGATATAAGTTCAAATCCATGTCCTTAAATACTTTTGGCCCAATATATGGCCCAATGATATACCTCAAAAGGTTGCCACTACACAACCTTTTGAGGTATATCAAAACTATATTTGCTCTATCTATATGATATTGAACACTATTTAGTAGGGCTAGATAATTAATCTTAAAATAACAATGTTATTTCGCTACTCAGAGTTTCACGATCTTGTCTGATCGATGTTTAGGCACAGATGAAGAACAGATGTGTAACTTCAGTAAAAAAGATGTCCCAAGTGTCGCTCGCGTGATAATTCGTCATTTCGTAATACGTCTTGCTTTCAAAAATGCTTTTCAACACCTTTTGAACAACTTTAATTGCTTTCAACAACTTTAATAATTCAACAATTATGCTCTTGATTGTTTAATCCAAAAATTTCGATCCAAAAAGGCCGCAATAAAGTGCAAAAGTTCGTGTTTTTCAGGACGCCATTTTGCTAGCAAGTGTCATGGCGTGAGCATGACGTGTACATCTAGGGAAATTTGAGGACACAAAGTCCTATGAAGTTACACATCTGGGGTCGGTTGTTCAAAAGCCAGTTAGCTCAATCCTAGGAAAATTTCAAAGCAATTTTCCTTGTTTATAAACATGACCATGGTTTTCTAGAATTGTTGTCTTGATCAATAGAAATGTTATTTTCCAAAGTTTTGAAATAAACAGAAGTGCAGATGTACCTAAACTAAAACAGCGGGTTAACTTTTAACCCAGGGTTACCGCTAATCCAGCTTTGAACAACTGGCCCCTATATATTATATGGCATATATCAATCTGTGGTTCAGGCGATTATGCCCATTTAATTAGTTTGCTTGATTTCGTGATTTTTAATTTTCCTTGATGCACGCGCATGCGTTGAAATCTTCCAGCTTGGAACCGATCTTTGTGGCGACATTTTCCGATCGTTTATTCAGTAAGTTTTTCTGGTCCGCTTTCATAATACATAGTTTTTCTTCATTACACGTATTACAACGTGTGCTACCGGGAGCATGGGGTGTTGAACGTTTCAGAAAAGACCAATTGATGGTTTGAGCTTTCTCTTTAAATAACTTTAAATTTAAGTTCCCAAATATATTTTGACATTTCAATTCGCCTTAAATTTGGGAACTTAAATTTAAAGAAAGATTTTGCCATCAATTGCTGTATTCCGTGAAACGTTCAACACTCTATGCTCCCGGTGGCATACGTTGTAATCTGTGTAATGAAGAAAAACTGGGTATTATGAAAGCGGATCAGAAAAACTTACTGAATAAGCGATCGGAAATATTAGGAAAATGTCGCCACAAAGATCGGTTCCAAACTGGAAGATTTCAACGCACGCGCGTGGGTCAAAGAAAATTAAAAGTCCCATGCGAGGCTCTCCCCCGTTTCAAACTACAAGCATACTAAATATATTACAGTGCTTAAAATATTTACATTGATAATAACCGTGAATCAACATATGCCAATTGCTTGAACACCAACTAATTCTCAAACCGTGCACAAACTTAAATACTCCAAAAGAGTTATTGGATTTAGTATCAATGAGAACCAATACTACTTTCAATTAAGAATGCAGAAAAACATTGAAAATAATAACAATAAAGTAATACGCGTATGTTTTCTTCAAAACTTATCCCTACGGCATGAACAATTTCGATGCAATGACCAAGTACAGGTTTCATTTACATAGAAACTAGTAATAAATAAATGTAAGTACGTTTTTGACAAAAACGATTTAAACATAATTAAGCTTCGAAGGTCTGCAGGCGATGCTGTTTTACACACACAGTTCCAGAGAGAGGGACGATACTCATTGACATTGTGAAAAGAGTTGGCAAACGCTCTGCCGAACGTCGTGGGTTTCCCCCGGGTATTCAGGTTTCCTCCCACATGAATGTTGACAGTATGATACGTACTTATAATAAGTTGGGTGTTTATGCCTTGTAGTGGACGTGTAATGTCCTATTGCATTTGGCCTAGTATTTCATGTTCTGAGTTCGAAATGTTTTCATTAAGGCTTGACCTGGTGGAAATAATTGGAAAAAGGCGACGGAAAGTACCAGTTATTCTCACAGAAGATGTCAAGGCTGCCATCAATGCTTTGAACACGAGAAGAAAAGAAGGTGGAGTTTGCGAGAGCAGTCAGTATGTGTTTGCGGTGAATGACGGCAGGTCGATGAATCCTTTAAGAGGACATGATGTGATAAAGAAAACTTGTAAACAAGTGAAACTGAAGGAACCTGAACTCATCAAGTCAACGAATTTAAGAAAGTACATCGCCACCGTGAGTCAGATTGTGGACATGAACGAGTCGGAGATGGGGTGGTTGGCTAACCATCTCGGCCATGATATTCATGTTCACAAAGAATTTTACTGATTGCCACAAACGACAATTGAGATGGCAGTTGTTGGCAATCTTCTGATGGCCGTTGATGAAGGCCGGGCGCATAAGTTCAAAGGCAAAAACCCAAGAAACATCCAGTTAGCAGATAAAAAAATCACAATCCAGTTCGTATACGAAAAAGATCTCGTTTCCAAATATGGGGTCTCTAAAATGAATATGAAAGGTATATAAGGATGCATCGGCAAATGAAACCAGAAACTGACGTTTGCATGGAGTTAGTTGAGGTTCGCATGACACATCACTGGCTTTAAAATAATAGCAAGCTACTTTTATCTGACTTAGATAATATTAGAGCCAGCATTACTACAGTGAATAGACTGAGACTGTAAATTTTTAACCAATTGAATTTTTTTTGCTAGACTTTGGCCGAGTTGACGATGACTCACCTGATGATAGCATGGAAACCAGAGATGAACGCGGTATGTATTGTAATTAGTTAATTGAATTTTGTGTCGAGATAGGAAAAGTACGGATGGAGAAATTCAAAACCTGTTTATTTTAAAAATATTGCTTTGTTAGAATAATTTTTATTATTTTTAAAAAAGGTGGATCATCTTCTCAAATGACACAGATTCCAGGCACGTCAAGGGAAAAATCAAGTAAGTTTGCTTTATGGAAAAATAACTACATGACACTCCGTTTCAATCAAAACTTTGCCATTGTATGTGTGGTGTTTTGATTCAATAAAAGGTTGAATTTAACAACAGACATCAGTTTTTAGAGTGAAGAAACCTTGAGGGAATTATTTTATTGGGATTATCACATCTCATCGCACATTTTCAATACTAACCAAAGATTTTTCTCTTCAGAAACGTCGCATTATCCACCAAGTGAATCAGAAGAAATAGATGACACAGATTCTACTTCAGGTACGCAAAAATTTGTCCCTAAAATGAGTCGCAAATTTAGCAGACTTTACGAAAGTTAAAAATAATATACTTGGCACGCCGCCCCTTTTCGAAAGATGAGTTGTCTTGCTTACTTGAAGAAATAAACTTCTTATAACGAAATGTCTTATAACGAAAGATAAAACGAAGTTTTATAAGAGAATGATAAAACAATTATTGAACTCGGTTCTCGCAAAATATCGTGATTTGTCGGTAGCTCGCAGATCAATTATTTGCCTCTGCCTTCGGCATCGGCAAATAATTGATCTGCTCGCCACCGATATTTTGCTCAACCTCGTCCAATAATTGATAATTATTTGCACTCAAGGTGAACGAGAACCTTTGATATGATTTGGTTTTTCGGATGATATTTTTTATAAATCACTAGGGAGTTTGAGTACCTGCGACGAAATAAACTGCTTAGAACAACCCGAAAAAAATTTGTTGCCTGTTAGTTTTCATATCTATTGAATACATTTTGAGACGATAGAAACTTTACGTATTTTAATTTTCAAGGGTTTTTAAATAGTCTGTTTTGAAAGACGCCTGACGACGGTTCAAAACGTGCTGTTGCATGTACGAAGTTAATGAAATATGAATCTTTTCGTTTTAAACTGAACCAGGATGACGTCAAAAACTCCCTTTGGACTTGAAAATAATTCATTTCTTTTGGAATAAATTATAAATTCTGTTTCAAAAATAGACGTCTTTGCTGCTCAAACTCCTTACGGACATTCTTGCGTCCCTATTGATATGCATATTATTTATCCATTCCGAGTAATCCTAGAATTAAATTTTGTTTGACTGAAGACTGAAGTTCAAAATTATCGTCATTTTGAGGTTGTGTGAAATGCACTTAGTCATCATCTCTGTCGAGACCTTTAACAGATATTAAAATATCTCCTTAAGGGAAAGTACATTTATTACACCGAGGGAGGGGGATGAAGATGTCTTGAAAAAAGCTCATATTTTTACAGGGCCCCTGTTGAGGTTATTGGTAAAATTCGATGCCCCCCCCTCCAAGTTTTTAAAATTTTCAATGCCCCCCCCTCTAGAATTTGGAATCGAAGGAGTACAATCCAGAATTCTCTCTTTACAGTTTACAGTTCCTCAAGATGTCTGATATACTCAAGCATGTGCTTCTCCTCAACAAAACTACCGACCTGCTGCTTCTTTCACCTCACCAGTGCCAGATGAAATGGCACCGTCTTTAAAAAAACATTTTAAATTGGCTCTAGGGGCCAAATTATCAACAAGTCGTCGTTGTCCATCATTCAGCGTAGTCGGAGTCTTGAACACGTTCATGTAGTGGCCAGGATTTCCTGGATCAGGGTAATGTGCTGGAACCTTACAGAATGTCTCCCCCACCCCACGTATCTACCTGCATCTGTTGCAAATGTCTTTGCATGTCTGTGAAAAATGCATGCAAAAGTGCCAGTATGCTTCAATTTCTTTAATTTTCATCCCGTTTGTACTAAATATCCCATAAACATAGAACATATCATTCTTACAAATCGTATGCTTTTCTGTTTTTGGAACTTTTACTTTTTGGCGGGTAAATTACTTCACAAACCTAGCGCCAAAAAATTTAAAATAAGCTATAGCTGATTTCATGTATCCATTTAGAAGAGCAGACTAAGGATATCTTAGAACTGAAATCGGTTTCGAATACAACCATCAGGGACGTAGCAAAGCATCTGACGTTTGGGGGGATGTCGCAGGATTCTACTACGTCATCAGTCTACGTCACTACGGAATTACATGAGAGAGCGCGCGCGAGCTATCTAGGCAATTTGTGCTTGCATCTTTCTGGGCATAAACAACGTGAAGAAATTTATGCGAGTAAATCGTAAAGAATAGTTCATTATCATCGGTTTGTTGAACAAAATTTTTGCACAAGGCAAACAGGGAGTATATTGTTTTGTTATTTTGCTATTTTGTGGTTTTGTTTCTTATTCTCGTTTAGGTAAACGATCAAATGGACAATAAATATTTATAAAATGGTGACAATATGGCGGACAGCCACAAACAAAATTCACGCTTGTGCTGCAGAGTTGAGCGGCAAATATAAGCAACCCAGTACACCCACAATGGGGAAAAGCTACCTATGGTCTATACAGACCGCTCCTAAGATGTGCAAGTGAAACTAAAGCCTTATCAAGGCATACGAGGCCAAACAAAGGCCATACAGAGCCAATTAAACGGGCAATGAAACAAGAAGCCAATGGCTGTGGAAAAGCCTATAAAACCAAGAAACAGGACGCCAACTACCCTGTCCAAAGCCTAAAGGCCATGTTACACGGTGCAATTTTTCTTGCAACTTGCAATGCAATTCTACTCTTGAGAGATGTCAATTAGTGAAATCAGTGAAGAATTTTGGATATGTTGAGAAAACATCAGCGGAGTGTAATAAAGACTCGTATTTGGCAATTTTACATCTCTCAAGAGTAGAATTACATTGCAAGTTGCAAGAAAAATTGCACCGTGTAACATGGCCTTAACGAGTAAAGGCAAAAGGTACACATGGCCAACGACCACATTGTTGCTTCAGCAACTTCGGAAAGTACCAAGAGACGTCATTGCTGTGCTGGGCGCCACAAGGTCATGGCATGTATGTCCACAGTTATAGCAGAAAATATCATGCTTATTGGACCGTATAGCTAGTGCTTTTTTACACCACTAGGAAGCTAGTCCATTATTTTCATGCACACAACTGTAACGCAGAAACTAATTGGATTTTTCCAGTATCAACGACATAAAAATGTCATTTGTGGAGTGTGCCGTGTGGATACAGTCCATGGCTTGTATATACACATTTATAATATAGCATTTGTAAATTCCGAACGCTGATTGGCTAAGAGCCGTGTTGATATAACTCCATGTCAACACGGGAAATTTTCCGCTGCTTGTAACACGAAAATTTTTCTTATTCTTCGGGCTTTTGACATTGCTATATTATAAAACAAATATAAAACATTTTTTTCCGTATTGATATATAGTTATATCAACACTCGTGGAAGTTGGGGAAACTCGAAATTGTGTGAAAACACTCCGCCCTTCGCATAGAGATTATAAATAACACTAGAGGAGGCATTGTAATCTTAATTCAGTAAAAAAAAGGGAACGCGACTATTGGGGGGCAAATTCAAGTCCCGGATGTGTATTCGTGTTCCCATTGGTGACGAGTTCCAAATCAGCCAATGAGAGCACGATTTTATATCCGGGACTTGAATTTGCCCCCCATTAGCTGCGTTCCCAATTTTTAAACTCGATGCCTCCTCTAGTGTTATTTATAATCTCTATGGCCCTTCGGGCGTCGTGTTTCCACACAATTTCTCGTTTTCCCAACTTCCACTCGTGTTGATATAACTGTATATCAACACGGAAAATGTTTTATATTTGTTAAATGTAAAATTTTTTCCGCTGACCGGCAGGTATCGAAAGTAGCCGATACTAGCAATTTAAGTACTCACTTCCGGTATCGAAAATTGAAATTTTGTGTGTATTTTGGTATCGAAATAGGTATCGGTATCGGCCGATACCGATCTTAAAAGTATCGGTATCGGTATCGAATTAAAATTCCTGGTATCGCCCATCACTAAATTAAGGTGCGTAGGCTGCGCGATCGAACGATTTGTCGTTTTCGTTGGCACTAAAGCCTGCAAAAGCCCACGATCGCGAGCGCCTGATTTGCAGGATAGATTTCTCAATTACGCTTCGGCTTATTCACCTGGCAGTCGAGATTTTAAATTTGCATATTAGCAGACAGTCTTCAAGTTTAATTACATTTTCGTAAGTACGAAGGTAAGTTGTTTTAAGTTTCGTATATATTGTATACACTGCCTGACTGCCTCACATAATTACGTTGAAATACACCACAATTTCTCGTTTTCCCAATTCCACTCGTGTTGATGTAACTGTATATCAACACGGAAAAGAGATTGTCTATTTGGCGTGGGTGGGTCGTGCGTCGTGGGTCGTGCGTCGTGGGTCGTGCGTCGTGCGTCGTGGGTCGTGCGTTAGTAAATCGCAAAAAAATTTAAAACCGAACTATACCATGAACTGCCAAAATTTTGCACCAATCTTTTTAGCTATATGCCACATCTCTATTAACTATGACCACATTGGCAAAAATGCTGGGTGAACTTGTGGGTGGTTGAATTTAATTACAGTAATTTAACTTGTAAAAGACATCGGTGACCTCCAAATTTAGGGTGTTGCGGTATATCGATAAACCGATAATTATCTTTTTTTATCAAAATACCGATTACTCGATATTGGAATTTTCAATCAATATCGGAATATCGATATTTTTCGGTATTATCGATATCACGTTTACGTTTGTATATTTAAACGCCATATCAAGCTTTTTCAAATTTCAAGCGCTGATTGAAGTTACTCAGAAGGACAAAGACGATCAATGTGTTAACTCCGCGGGAAAATCCGTCAATTAAGGTTAGAACGCGATCTAAAACGTGTTTGTTTATACGTTACGTTGGCGTACGTTGCAAGGTACGGTAATATGTCATTTCCCTTAGTTATAGGTAATATGTCATTTCGCTCGTGAACTTTTAGAACGTAAACAACGGTGGATTACAAATGTTTTAGAAAAACAAGAACTAACCTCATTGGACATTGTTAGTTTTCTGCTGATATATGACGATCTTTGTTTCGAACTCGCAGTTGAATAAAATGTTTTGAAACAATTTCCCGGACAAAAATATCACATGTTTCATCCGATGCGGTAATCAATGCTAATATTAGGTAATATGCATTTTCAATTCGTAACGGCGGACACATCACAGGCTACTGATCACTGGTCTCACACTTTATTGAAAATATCACGCACCCAATGAGTCAAAGCTGTTATATCGTGGCTGTTTGGCAGCATTTGAAAACAGAAAATTTTGCATAAAATTAAGCAAATTTTGCATAAAATTAAGCAAAATACAATCGCGAAAAAATATCGGTATTATCGGTAT